ATCTTGGAGTTCCTCTTTCACATGTTTTAGGCGGCCAGATTAGGGTTTGGAAGTAAAGTAACAACTAGGAAGAGTCTCTACCATGCGAGAAAGCCAGCGAGCCCAGCTGGCCCGCATCGTTCAGCCAGCCAGGCAGGCAGGGAGATGGAGGAGCCGGCACAGGTCATTCCTCACTGCCTGCTCTCTCACTGTGACTTTATGTACCTGGGTGGCACCCACACACACTCACAGCAATGTATAGTGTAGGGTTTTAATCGGCACCAGCTAATCTAATAATGCTGTGCCTTACCTTTTTTCACTCATCATTCTATTTTAAAGAGCAACCAGTTGACACAGCCAGGCGTCACCCATTATTTTAGCTTCTGTATGCCATCCTATGAATACACCACCATGCTCCCCCATCTCCTGCTGTGGACTTGTGGGCTCTCTTACTTTCTGGCTGTTACAAGCCATGCTTCAATGAGCTTCCTCATCATCTCCCAGTGCTCTCATGGAAGAGTGACTCCAGGGAGCATTCCTAGAAGTAGACTTGCAGGGTCGTCGTAGACCACATTTTAAGTTCTCTAGATATTGCCAATTGTTTTCTAAGGGGTTCCTGCCAGTTGTCGCCACAGCAGCTGTTTCTGAGGGTCACCCTTGCCCTACATCTTGGACACACTTTGCACCTTAAGACATTTTCATTCTTGTCAATCTAATGTGTGAGATATTGTCTCATTGCTTTCTTCCTCCTTAAATAGCCACATATGTCTGTCCTCATATGAATATATCATAACGTATTCAGCCACTCCCCATGGTTAGACACCCAGCCTGTTTCCCTGTGTACATTTGCTCTTGTTTTTGATGTCACAAATGGTGCTGCCAGAAGCAGACTTGTGCCAACGTCCTGATTTGCTGGTGTGCCGGGGTTCTTGTTCCAGCATCTAGAAGGGTTCAGCAATCTGGAGAAGGCTGTGCGTAGATTAGATAGGAGTCCAGAGACGAAATATAATTTTGAAAGGCATTTGGGCGTCAGAGGAGCCTAGTTTAAAGGAAACTAAGATCTCCTTAGGCTCAGGACCCCATGCTTTTTATTAACACAATTTGTCCTGAGGCGAGGCAGAGATATACACTTCAAAGGGTATACACAAGCGTTGTCAGAATTAGGGAATTAGCCTACAGCTGTTCAGGTGTTTGGCCAGAAGGAGGCAATAACATGTAGATTAAGATGCCCTGAGCTGTCTGGCAGCCAAGCAATCATCCCTTTTCAGGTTTGGGGAAATGCCCTCAGCCATTCCCAACAGGTGACTATATGTGTGACTCAACCCTGTTGAGTCCCCAAGTTCCATCAACCTTTTGATGAAACTCTTGAAATTATGACATGCTGGAATTGGCTTCCAGCACTGGTGCTGTCACTGCCGTCATGAGTAGCCAGAATCAGCACTTTCATTTTAACATTTATTTTTATTAAATTCATTGGGTGACATTGGTCAGCAGGATCATATAGGTTTCAAGTGTACATGTCTATGATACATGATTGCATGTGTGTCCACTACCCAAAGCAATTTTCATTTTAAGAAATACTGACAGCCCTGGCCAGTGTGGCCCAGTTGGTTGAGTGTCTCCCTTGCACTGAAAGGTTGCACATGCCAGGGTCGTGGCCTTGGCCCTGGTGAGGGGCCTGCAGGAGGCAGCCTATTGATGTTTCTCTCTCACATCAATGTTTCTCTCTCTCCCTCTCTCCTCCCTCCCTCTCCCTCTAAAAATTAATTTTAAAATCTTTTAAAAAAAGAAATACTGACAAAAATCATGTTCCAAAATTGTATAATAATTTTCAGTCCCACCAATTGTCTATGAAACTATGCTTTTACCCATACTTTTGCCAAAAGTTGGTGACATTGGTCTTTTACATTTTGACGATCTGCAACTAGCTGAGACCCACTTCCTCCCCTGCACAGGGAGCTGGGGCTCTCCGCCTCGCCTCCGCTGGGCACTGCCTGGGGAACGGAGCGTGGCTTCCCTCTGGCCTGTGCACAGCGTTATCATTCGTCTGCCATGGCTTTTCTCTCGGGGATTTTAGTTCTTTCTTTTCTAAACTACGCATATCGTTTCTCCTTTATAACTGTTGGGTTTCTTGCTTTGCTTAAGAAGGCCCTCCCACCCCAAAGTTACATAAATACTAGATTTTTTTGTCTTATTACTTTTATAATTTTGTTGTTTTTTAAACTGTAGGCCTTTATTTCATCTGCCATGTATTTGTACATATGGTGTGAAGTAGGGGCCAAAGGTCTCAGTCTCATTTATTACCTAATACATCCCTCCCTACTGCCCTGGGCCACACCCACGTAGCCAGTTCCTGGGCTCAGCCCCACTTGTAGCCCCTGACCTCGTGGCCTATGGAAGTTGTTGATCTCTCTGTGCCTCAACCCCCACGGTCTGTGAAATGGACGAAATAATAGTCCTGCCTCACAGGGTTTGTGAGAGAATTAAATAGGTTAAACCACGAAAACACATAGAAACGGTATTTGGCGCATAGAAAGCACACAGTAAGTATTAGCTACGTTGGTATTATAGTCACATATTTTCTTGGGTCTGCTTCTGGACTTTGTGTGTTACTTTATTTTTTTATGCCACAGCCCAGCATCATTTTTTATTGTCATATCTTTCTAATATATGTTACTAATTGCTTTGTTATTTCACCGTTTTTTAAAAGATTTCCATGATGGGAACTGTTCTGGGTTACACGTAGATTGTCATGTGCTGGCATTTTAGTGACAGTCCATCTGTCCACCTAGGACCCAGTGTGTCCTTCCACCCGTCGAGATCTCCTGTGATGTCCTTCAACAGAATTTCCAGTTTTCTTCATGCGATTCTTTCTCCTTTCAAGTTACTTTGTAGCCGGGAAACTATAGCTTGCACAGTTCTGAGTGCGGTGTTTTTCTGTTTGTAAATAAGTATTGCTGCATAAAGATAAATTACTGGTTTTTAAATGTTTACCTGTATTGACACCTTACTAAACTCTTCTATTGGCAGTCATCATTTTAATGAGTCTCTTTAGTTACCTAGTTGTTTGATCATATTACTCAAGTGATGATAATTTTGTCTTTTATTTTCCACTAGAGGCCTAGTGCACAAAATCGTGCACTGGGGGCATGGTCTCTCAGCCTGGCCTGTGCCCTCTCGCAGTCCGGGAGCCCTCAGGGGATGTCTGACTGACACCCATGGGGAGTGGGCCTAAGCCAGCAGTTGGACATCTTTAGCGCTGCTGTGGAGGCAGGAGAAGCTCCCAGCGGTGAGCCTGGCTTCTGTGGGAGCACACTGACCACCAAGGAGTAGCTCCTGCATTGAGCGTCTGCCCCCTGGTGGTCAGTGCACATCATAGCCACCAGTCATTCTGCCATTCATTCAATTTGCATATTAGCTGCACATCATAGCCACCCATTCATTCGATTTGCATATTAGCAGCATATTAGCATTTTATATATAGGATGATTTACACCACTGATACATTGTTCTCATTGTGTGGCTGAAATTCCCCAAAACAAGTAATAATAGTAATGATGAACATTCTCTCTGGGTCTTGATTTTTGATAAAATATCTTTGATATTTTTGTTTATTTATTTGCTTGCTTGTTTAAGATTAGACTTGTTCTTGTTTTCAGATGAATACTCTCACTATATTTAGGAACTTCTCGGTTCATTCTAATTTCATTTTGTCTGGCTGAACTTGTTCAATGAATTTCCTCTGAACGGCTATGTACTTGCCCCACACCCACCTACTCTCCTGCCCTTCTTCCAGAAGCTTGTGAGCTTGTGGGAGCATCTCTCTCTTGTCTCTCTCCCTTCATCCCCCCTCCTCCCTTCTCAACCCCCATCTCTCTCTCTCTCTCTCTCTCTCTCTCTCTCTCTCTCTCTCACACACACACACACACACACACACACACACACACATTCTTTTCTCCAACACTTTGAAAAATAATCAGTATATATCTAGGTAGCCTTTTTCTGCCAGGACTTACTCAGAAAACAGAACATGCTCTGCGACATGTTTGCTCTAAGAGAGACCACAGGTGGGTGTGGGGCAAGCGCATGCCCTTTCTGTACCTGTGACTCTGAGAGGCTTCCGGGCCAGCACCACCCAAGAAACAGGAGAGGTTTTTGTGATGGTAAGAGGGACTCAGACTTTTAATAACCAAAATCTCAAGTTTTACTTTCCTCTCATAAGAGAGATGTAAAAGGAAGGAGAATTAGGGATGTAAATGGAAGAGCTGGAATCTCAGGATGTAGACTTGGGCGTTTAAATAACTATAAGATCATGCTCCCTGCCCTGAGGAAACAGATAGGGTTTGTTTGTTAGGTTTTGTTTTTCTCTATAAACAAGAAGAAAAGTCAAATTTCAAAAAACCACACAAACGTCCAGTGCTGCGGGGTAAGTTTCAAGGGCACCGGGATCTGAGAACGTTGGCTGGGAAGGTGCATGGCCTGTTTTAGGGAACCTGCTGTGATTATAAAATCCCTGCACCTGCTATGGCAGCTCTCTGTGCCCGTGGGAGCGGCAGGCTCACCTAGCCACCCGCCGCCGCCAAACCTACTGTGACCATCACCACTGTGACCACCGCACGCAGTTCAGGGTGCGCTGAGCCGCTGGTGGGACCATGGACGCCCAGGTCAGGCCTGGCAGGGCAGCCACAGGTGCCCACCAAGGCCGCTCTGTGCCAGGGAGAGCACTGGGAGGCCTCGCTGCTCAGTGCCTCCTCTTCTGATGTTTTCTTTCAACCCCTTTACACAGTGTGCAGGCCTACCATTCGCTGCCCCTGGCTGTAATCGCAGTCTCGGGTTCAGGGCCTCAGGCCTCCCGGGTGATGCTCAGCACAGTGGCTGCGGGGGACCTGGGGAGGGGGTGCAGTACCTTGCTGGACGCACAGCAGCTGTCATGTGTTGGCCTGGGGGTGGGCATGTGCTCAGGCACAGGGGAGTCTCATGCTGAGGCGCTTACTCCACGCTCTTCTCCTTTCGCCTGTCAGGTGGATGGAGTGGAACCCTGGGTTCCCCTTGAGTATCGACGCCAAGTGCCACAGGGATTTGCCTCGCGACATCCAGTTTGATAGTGAGAAAGGCGTGGACTTCGTTCTGAACTACTCGAAAGCGTAAGTCTAGGCGGGCTCCAGGACATCGGGCAGCTCCTCCGTGGCCAGGGCTGCAAGGGGGTTAGGGAGCAGCTCAGCCCGGCATCTCTTCCCAATGCTTTTGATGGGGTTCTGGTCATAGAGTGGGTTCACGACGCACAGTCGCAGGGTACCCTGTATGAAAAGTTACAACCGGAAGACTCCCGACACCAAACGGAGCTGTTTCAGCCCAAAGCGGGTTCTTTGATTGGAATGCCCGGCCCCACCCATGTCTCATCCTCTCCACAGCCAGCTCCAGGCTCTCCCCTAGGGGGCAGGGCTCTGCCGTCAGAGCGGCCACCAGGCCCCACTCCCTGGAGTTACTTTTAAATTTTTTGTTTACACTTTATTAAATATTTTGTTTTATTGAAGAAAATAATATAGTTTCTACATTTCTTTTTTTATTTATTTTGTTAATCTTTATTGTTGAAAGTATTACATATGTCCTCTTTTTTCCCCCATTGACCCCTTATAATCCGCCCCTACTCCCCACCCCAGGCCTTCACCACATTGTTGTGAAGTTATGCATATATGCAGACAAGTTCTTTGGTTGATCTCTTCCCACCCACCCACCCCGGCTTCCCTCTGAGATTCGACAGTCTGTTCCATGCTTCTATGTCTCTGGACCTATTTTGTTCAACGGTTTATTTTGTTTATTAGATTAACACTTTGTTCCATGCTTCTATGTCTCTGGATCTATTTTGTTTGTCAGTTTATTTTGTTCATTAGATTCCACATGTGAGTTAGATCATGTGATGCTTGTCTTTCTCTGACTGGCTTATTTCACTCAGCATGATACTCTCCAAACCCCTCCATGCTGTCTCAAAGGATAAGAGATCCTTCTTTTTTACTGCTGCCTAGTATTCCATGGTGTAAATGTACCACAGCTTTTTATCCACTCATCTACTGATGGGCACTTGGGCTGTTTCCAGATCTTAGCTATTGTAAATTGTGCTGCTTAGAAGTGCCTATGTCCTTTCTGATTGGTGTTTCAGGTTTATTAGGATATATTCCTAGAAGTGGGATCACTGGGTCAAATGGCAGTTCCATATTTAATTTCTTGAGGAAATTCCATACTGTTTTCCATAATGACTGCACCGGTCTGCATTCCCACCAGCAGTGAACGAGGGTTCCCTTTTCTCCACATCCTCACCAGCACTTGTCATTGGTTGATTTGTTGATGGCAGCCGTTCTGACAGGTGTGAGGTGATACCTCGTTGTCGTTTTAATTTGCGTCTGTCTGATGATCAGTGACTTTGAGCATTTTCTCATGTGTCTCTTGGCATCTGTATGTCCCCTTTGGAAAAGTGTCTGTTTAGGTCCTTTGTCCTCACCCTCTCTGGTGTTATCTCACTATGGGGCCCAGGAAGGCTTCACAGCAGGGCATCTGGCCTGGCCTTGCTCCTGGCCAAGCAGACACAGAGAAGTGGGGCAAGGATGCTGGGGCAGAGAGTACCATATGCAAAGTCAGGACATGGCTGGGCTTGCTCACAAAAACAGGTGAGTTGTGAAATTTCTCGATGGCATCGAAGGAGGAGCATCTTACGTGTTTACTCACTGCTCACTGTTTGTGGTCTGAAGCGTGATTGCAGGTGGCTAGCAGGCTGATAAGGGAGTGTCCTCTTTAAGGGAAATGGAGAAAGAGAGCTTCCTTCCCAGCAGAACAGGGCAGTGCAGAAATGTGACTGAGTTTGGGAGCATGGACCAGCCTTGTGCCAGGATGAGGGTGTTCGGACCCTCACCCACTATGTGTTTCCCATTCGATGAGATTGGATGGGTAGCTCCTTGGAGGGACACCTTCTCCCTCACCCAGACCCCAGTCACCTTCCTGGAAAGGCAGGTGAGTGGCTGCTCACGAAATTTTGTGTTGGCCCTTTAAGAGGGTCTCTGAATTTCCAGCTATCTCTCTCTAGCAGACAGCAACCCTGCTGCTTTCCACAGCTAGATGTTATGTGGGCACCGTTCTCAGTTCTGGTGCTCTGGGATGGGGAGCCCAGCTTGGGGTTCCATCCGGGGTTCTTTAGTCCAGACCCCAGCACACGGGTGGGGGGCCCCAAGACCATGTGGTTAAATCCCCTAATGGTCTAATGGGGAAAGGGCACCAAACCCGTGCCTGGCAGCCTACTCTGCCCTGAAGGTTCCTGGTAGAATCCACAGACCCAGGGCCTGCTCTGTGCCCTGAGGCTTATGCCACAGCAGTGTCATTCTGCCCATGGCTAAGCGCAGTCCTGACTGTGCAGAATTGGAACTGTGGCTGAGGTCACCAAAAAGGCTTTCCACATTGGGCCTCTGCCTCTGGGCAGCCGGTTTCCACAGCGCTTCTGAGTAACTGCAATGACCCGTTTCCTCCAAGCCACCTGCTCTGCCTGGGTCAAGGCCAGCCTTCCTCAGTAAGCTTTACGCCCTGCCCTGCATTCCCTCCCCGCCCCCCCCTCCGCCCCCGCCAAACAGCAAAACCGAAATGGAAAATGAAGAAGCTGTTAGGAGGGAAGGAGCAGGGGAAGTAGAGGAAACGAGAGCTCCTGCCTCCCCCAGGCCCGGCCAGCAGCTCGGTGTACCTGGCCATGCTGTGCCCTGGCTGTGTGACCTCGAACAAGCTGGGTGCCCTCTCTTGGCGCAGCTTCCTCTTTTCACAATAACAGATCTTTAAGTCCCTTGTATCAAGTTGTCTGTAAGTACATAGAAATATTTATCTCCAGAGGCCATGCAAATATTTTCCTCCTAACTCCCCTTCTTCCTGGATCTGAAGCTTCCGCTGAGCACGGCCACACCCACCCTGTTCCCAGTTCAGAGGCCCAGCTGGAGAGACTGTGACCACTCCCAGGGGGGAATGGCTGGACTGTGGACTGTGACTCACCCCCGGTTCCCCACAGGGTGCAGTGTCCAGCACCTCTTTCCTGGCACCATCTGGCACTAGGCCAACCTCAGGGCAGTGGGGACCGTAGGGACTTGGACAGGCCTCTCCTTCCCAGAAACATGTCCTTTCCACACTCAGCCTGACTCTGGATGCCACGGGAGATTTGTTCCTCTAGCTTAACAAGGGCTTCTGTACCCAGGGATTTACTAACAGGGAAGCTAGAAGAAGGTGGCGAGGGAAGTGGTAAGGCCTTCCTGGGCCTCAGCAGCCTGCCTACTGGAGTGGAGGCTGCAACAAGCATGGGTGTCAGACAAGAAAGGGTGTAGGACGAGCATGGGTGTAGGACGAGCATGGGTGTAGGACGAGCATGGGTGTAGGACGAGCATGGGTGTAGGACGAGCATGGGTGTAGGACGAGCATGGGTGTAGGACGAGCATGGGTGTAGGACGAGCATGGGTGTAGGACGAGCATGGGTGTAGGACGAGCATGGGTGTAGGACGAGCATGGGTGTAGGACGAGCATGGGTGTAGGACGAGCATGGGTGTAGGACGAGCATGGGTGTAGGACGAGCATGGGTGTAGGACGAGCATGGGTGTAGGACGAGCATGGGTGTAGGACGAGCATGGGTGTAGGACGAGCATGGGTGTAGGACGAGCATGGGTGTAGGACGAGCATGGGTGTAGGACGAGCATGGGTGTAGGACGAGCATGGGTGTAGGACGAGCATGGGTGTAGGACGAGCATGGGTGTAGGACGAGCATGGGTGTAGGACGAGCATGGGTGTAGGACGAGCATGGGTGTAGGACGAGCATGGGTGTAGGACGAGCATGGGTGTAGGACGAGCATGGGTGTAGGACGAGCATGGGTGTAGGACGAGCATGGGTGTAGGACGAGCATGGGTGTAGGACGAGCATGGGTGTAGGACAAATGGGTGTAGGACAAGCATGAGTGTAGGACAAGCAATGGGTATAGGACAAGCATGGGTATAGGGCGAGCATGGGTGTAGGACGAGCATGGGTGTAGGACAAATGGGTGTAGGACAATAAAGGGTGTAGAACAACATGAGTGTAGGCCAAGCATGGGTATAGGACAAGCATGGGTGTAGGACGAGCATGGGTGTAGGACAAATGGGTGTAGGACAATAAAGGGTGTAGAACAACATGAGTGTAGGCCAAGCATGGGTATAGGACAAGCATGGGT